TTACCAAGCATTTTGTCCTTCTCCAGGGACTGGTCCCTCCCCCAGATAACATGTCCAGAGTACCTGAGACACCCTTTATTCTTTCCTCTCACATTCCACACATCCAATCCATATGCAAATCCTACTGATGCTATCTTCTAATTCTATCCAGAATCTGCCACCATTATCTCTTGCCTGGGTTACTGCAGTAGCCTCCTGCCTGCTTCTACCCATCCCCCTGCTGCCTTCATCCCACTCACCCCTGTCCAATCTACTTTCCACACAGGAGTCAGAGCGATTCTTTAAAGAAGCAAGTAAGGCTCTACATTCCTTTACTCAAAATCCTCCAGTGGTCACCCATACCCCTCAGAATAACTTCCCAAGTCCTCACAATGACCTTACAAGACCCTATAATCTGGCCCCTGATTTATCACCAACTTAACTGACAATCCCATCTAGTTCATGCTGATCTAACCACACTGGTCTCCTTGCTCCCCATCAAAATGCCAAGCAAGGTCCATCTTGGGCCTTTTTTACTCATTGTCCCTCTGGCTGAAAGACTCTTCCCTTAGCTATTCACATGGGTGACTTCCTCATTTTAATCCACCCTCTACTCAAATGTCACCTGAGAGAATCCTTCCCTAACCACCTTAACTAGAAGGTACAGCTGTTCCCCTTACCCCATCATTTTCTATCCTTCCTGCCATGCTCTATTTTTCTTCATTGCACTTCTCATCTCTATATATGTCTCTAGATAGATAGATAACCATTGCCACTGAGTCCATGACAACTCATAGTGACCCTACAGGACGGAGTAGAACTGCCTCATAGGGTTTCCAGGGCTGTAATCTTTATGGAACCAAACTGTCACATCTTTCCCCCGCAAAGAAGCTGGTGGTTCAAACCACCAACCTTTAGGTTAGCAGCCAAATGCTTAACCACTGCATCACCAGGGAGAGAAGGAGGGAGAGGTAGAGAGAGAATACTTGTTTATTGCCTATCTTCTTCCATCATCACGCAAGCTCCATAAGGGCACGGATTCTGAATACTTTGTTCACTGCTGCACTCCTGGTGTTTGAAACAGTACTTAGCTCATGCAGTACTCAATAAATATATATTAAATGAGTAAACAAATGCATTATTGTTACCTTTCATATCCCTGAAAAGTAGGTAAAAATGGTCATACACCTCCAAGCTCAACACTGCATTCTGTGGGCCCTTCTCCCTGGAGCCAAGACTTAGCGCAACTGCGTCACATCTCTTGAACACCAACCACATCGTTGTTCTCACCTGCTTCAAGCCCTCCATGGCTCCCATTGCCCTCAGGATTAAGTCCACCCTCCTTCACATGGCCCATAAGGCTCTGCATGATCTGACCTTACTAACCACTCCAGGCTCAACCATGCCACTCACCAGTACATTCCTATGTTCCTCGCCTGACTAACTCTTGCTCATTCTTTAGGTTCAACCTAAAAGTTCCTTCCTCAAAGGCCCTTCTGCAGCCCTCCATCTCCGTCCTCCATTCTCTCTAGTAGCACCTCTCCTTTTCCCTTCGAGGCCACCCACAACTTGTGGGGATATAGCAGGTTATCCAGCTGAGGTGTTCATCAGCAACTCAGGGCATGGAACACAGCTGAGGAAAGAGGGCAGACAAGGGGGCTTCTGGAGACAGAACCAGCTCCCTGACTTGTGGGCACCAGCGCAAAACTGAAACGCGAGGTCCGTTGTTTAAATACTAGGAATTTCAAGACAGCAACAGCCGAGCACTAAACCAAGCATGGGCCCTTCTGAGCATGGGACCCTGTGTGACTCCACAGGTCGCATGCCTATGAAGCGGCCCTGCCTGGAGACCACTAAAGAAAGGCAAGTTGCAGCTCTAGGTGCACAGTCAGGCCGGCATCGTTTGTAAGTGTGTCCACACTGGTCACATCCTCAAAGGCAGGGCTTGTTTTATGGAGAGAGACCAGAGCTTCATCCTTGAGTCCACTGGTAGCCAGGAATGTTCTACCTGCAGGGCGCCTGCTCATAAAACACGCCTCCATTCAGGCTAAGTTCTTCCACTGCCACTTTAGCACAAGCTTAAGCCAATGGCATGGCAAGAGCCAGCAAGAGACAAGGAAATAGTGGCAAGAGAGCTTCATCAAGCTTTTTATGATGCAGGCAGTCAAGGCCAAGAAACCTCTTGGGATAATAAAAGGTTGCCCTCTTCCTCTCCCGAGCATTTCAGCTTGTCAAACTTTCCCCTGGCTTTTGAATAACAGCTTCTACCCAGTTAATAAGTTAATAAATGACAGAAGTTTAATAAATAGAGAAGTTTCTCTTTCAGGCACCCAACTGAGTACTGGATAAATGAAACGTTTGCTCTTTTAGGAACAGACAGTGGCTCCAGAAACACAAAGCAATCATACCCTAATAAAACAATAAATAGGAAATGCACAGCTCTCATGATTTCTTTATTTTAAAACAACGGAGCCATACCGTGAGGACTCCAACACGCTCAACTCGCCATAATAACATCTCCTCGGCACTTATTGTTTCTCCACATCTGACCTAGACATTTTCAGTTACTTGTATGGGCTGCCTCCTCCGTCATTCACAATTCCAACTCAGTGTTTCACAAACATTTTTTATCCATGCTGTACAATGAGAATACGTTTTAACGCCGTGACCCAGTATAAATGGAACTCAATTAAAAGTTTCCTGAGTACAATACTGGTATTTTATATTCCATTGCACCTTTTTTTTTTTTTTTTTTAAATGATGTCTGACCCACTAAATTGGTTTTTTGGTTTTTTCCTGAGTGATGCAAACTGTTAAGCACTGGGCTGCTAACCCAAAGTTTGGTGGTTTGAGTTTACCCAGGGGCACCTTGGAAAACGAGCTGGTGATGTACTTCTGAATAAAATCAACCACTGAAAACCCTTACAGAACACAGTTCTACTCTGACACACAGGGTCGCCATGAGTCCGAAACGACTCCATGGCAAGTGGTTTGGGTTTTAATGGGCTGTGACCCACAATTTGGAAACACCATGAATTTAGATCACACTGCCTTACATTTTACTACACATTATTGCCCAGACTCCATGCATCAGGCCTTAACTCAAGCTTCATCTGAGTTAGCTCTGCACCATCCACAAGAAAGTTTTAAAAGGTAGCTCTTAAAAAGCTGAATATTTAAATGATTTTTCTAGCAAAAAAGAGACAAGAATCATACAGAGTGAAGACTGAAATTAAATGAAGGCAACTTTTCTTGGGCAAAATAGTCTTCACAGCTTGGTGTGCAGAGCGGGACCAAGACCTAAGTTGAGGGCAGAGAAAGGCAAAGTCAGAGAACTTTCTATGTCTGGCCTCCTCAGTGTGGGTCCGCCATTTTGTCTGAAGTGGTGCAGTCTTCCAGAATACCAGACACACTCTATTCAAAAATACATAAAAGCATTTCAAAGAAAAGGTTTTTCTGTCATCTTGGAGGTTTCTGCCTTCTCTGCCTCTCCTCTGTCTCCTACAAATGGCCCGTCACCAGGTTCTGTCATCTCTTCCTTTAAAGAGTCTGTCACAGCCACGCCCCTTCCCTCTCTCCAGGCCAGTCAGACCCTGGCTTCCAGACCCTTCACTGCAGCCAACAAAGCAACTGCCCCTTCAGGCTGTTCCCACCAGGCGGTGCCTTCAGTGGCTCTGACCATTTCAAGTACGCCCACATTTTTCTGGCTGGCCTGCGGAATCTAGGACTTCATTCCCCAGCCCACCTTCCACACGGGTCATGGCCCTCTCTCCCTGAGGGCTACTGCTCTACTACACCACACATCAAACCACACAATTTAGTCCTTTGTGATGACAAGAAGGAGCCCTGGTGGTGCAGTGGTTAAGAGCTCAGCTGCTAACCAAAAGGTTGGCAATCCAAATCCACCAGCTTGGTTCTTGGAAAACCTATGGGGCAGTTCTACTCTGTCCTGTAGAGTTGCTATGAGTCAGAACTGACTTGCCACCAACGGGTTTGGTGTATTTTTTAAATTTTTTAATTGATAAGAACGAGCACACACCTACTATGAGTTCAGTGCCAGACTAGGACCCCTTTACACACTACGTCTGATTCTCACACTACCCTTCCAGAGAGGGATCATGATTTTAGTAACTGACGGAAGTGGAACTCAGGTGGGTTGGACTGCACAGTCCAGGCTCTCTCCATTACCCCCCAGTGCCTTGTGGGTACCATACAATCTTTAAGCTACGTGCAAAATTGTTTTTCCTGATCGCCTCTGGAATGAAGCTATCGTCTTGAGATGGGGGAGGATACATATGGGATCCTCATCATGACATTAGTGGTTAGAATGCTGGGTTCTCTTGATTAGGTTCCTCAAGAAGAATCTTAGCTGAGTTCAGCACCAAGAAGAGTTAGTTGCACTTCTGACAACCAGCAGGTTCATTCTTTGCACACTGGCCTCGTTCCCTGTCCGCCATTTTCTATGTTCCCTCCTCCTGTTTCTCTCTATGGCCACTGTGCCATACAGGGCCTGTCTCTATAGGTCACCTTTAATCTTCGCTAGAATGCAGTAGGAAACAAGGAAATACCATCTTCAATTTTCCTTATCATCTCATATGCTTTTTCTGATCCTCCCATGCCCTTGTAGGGGTAGCATGCAACCCAAGTAGAGGGTTGTATCCTCTGCCACTTTGCCTCTCTCACACAGGCCTGAACTCCTAAGAGTTCTCAATCCATGTGTTAACTAAGCCTTTCCATTCCGGCAACATATACAGGGAGAAAAAAATAAAAGAACATTCTGGCAAGGCTTTCTCATCCTGAGCATCAAAGCAAACCTCTCCCTGTTACAGCATGAACATTTACATAGAACCATCCTTTCCAATTTTGCCTGGTACAGCCATACTTAAAAGCCATACTGGCCACTTCCCCCGTTCTCCTTTAGCAATCTCACCACAGTGAAAAGAATGTCAATAGAGGAGGCGTGGGAGTAGAGAAGGAACCCAAACAACTGGCCACAGACCCAGTGGGACATGCCAGCCTACCTTGGTCAAATCCATTCCCAGTTTGAGTTGTGAAATGAGATGAAGAATTATACTTCGCTGATCCTCCATGACGCCCAGTTCTGTCTCTTCCTTATCTTCAGTGTCACTTTTTTCATCTTCGGACAAAACCAGTTCAGGGCCTGAGTTTGGCTAAAATGAAATCAATAAAAATTATCAGCGGATTCAGTAGAAGTTAAAACCACAGCATAGAAAGCCCTGTGCTTAGCAATTCAGAAGGAGCCCAATCCAGCCACAGGAAGATTTTCTCAGTCCTGGTGCCCACTGGGCTAAAGATGACTCTCTTTGGGGTACAGGTCCCATGCTTTAGTCACTGCATGTCCCCCTCACTGCCCCCTTTCTCCCTCCGTAGTGACTCTCCTGCCTATGGACTTGCTCTGACTGAAGAGTTTCCTGCACTTCAAGAGGCTGACTATAGTATACAGGTACGATCCCCTTAATCCAGTCTATTCCCAAATGACCTCTGTTATCTTGCACAGTTCAGGACATTTTATATTTTATGTAAAAGTTTCTATTTAAAAGCAAAAGTTGGATGCCCCTGGTACTGGCTGAAACTACCTTATTTATAGGAAAATTTACCTTGAGTTTACTTCTACACATCAATTAATATCACTATGGCCAAGTGTAGGAAAAGTCTCAGCATTGGCATTAATTTAGGGAGAGAGAGAAAAATGAAAATTTAAGCAACAACTCTGAAATTTTCTAACAATGCTGGGATTCATGCTGGCCAACAGATGCTGCTTTTCTCGATGTAAATTTATTAATTTAATTGCTGGACTCCAATGTTTCAAATCACACAGAAAACAGGCCAAGTTAATAAATAAAATGTGCATGGAGGAATTACCAATCCCCAAATTTTCCAATGTCCAAATATCAAGAAGTCTGGCTACAATGTAAAGTTGCCCTTGGAATTCAGTTGAAAGAAATAACGCCATTCACACGTACCTATGTTCTTGCAGAACTCGTTCGTGTGTGAGCAAAAGCACTCTGCACAAAACATTACACATTTTTTCCAATTATCAGTGACAGATTAGACATAATGAACTTGATACACAGAAATGCAGGAGCTCAAAGCTATTACAGATAGAAAAGGATTGCAGACTTGCCCAAAGGTCCATGTAAATGCTAATGATTTAGAAATCTCATTAGGCAGAATCATCTCATATCTAAAAGCACTTCCAATACACAAAGGTTATTTTGGTGATTGAGATGTTTGCCATTGTCCAGCCTAACATACTGGTGTTGGCCATGCTTTACCAAAGCTCTAAAGAGGGGAAGCAATGGTGTTCCTTCCCCAGGCATCTCTTGTCAGCCTAGAGTAGGCAGGTTATTTATTTCAACTTAAGCACTTTCCATTCACACACTTGCAAATTCTTCTCAATACACTCAACAAGCCCAATTCTAAGAGGTGCTTGGGAAGACCTCGGTGAAGCCCACAGGGCTTTCCCCCAGCCGGGAGTCAGAGTCTTCTTCCACCACATGCCTGGTTGCCCAGCCTCATCGTAATATGTATTATCTGATGCCATCAGCAAGTTGCTTTGCTAGAATATACTGAAATAATTGAGGAACCCTCCCCAGTCCTTTTCCCAAGAAGAACCACCAGAGGAAAGTCTGGGAGCTTGGGCCGCCCTGATTCTGCACCGGGGAGTCGGGGGAAGATGAGAAGCGGGGGAAGATGAGGGCTCAGCACTCAGTCAGCGCCTCTGAGGCCACCCAGCCTCTGCTCCGTCTGCTCTGCTGCAGGGCCTGCTATTGCCAGGGCCACTGCATTACAAGCCTGAATCGCTAAAGCTAGGATTAGGAGGGCCACCCTTTGACCTTGCCCTTTTCCCTCCTCTGGATGTCAGGAGAGCTGGGAAGTTGGTGGCTATCTCAGCCCACCGAGAGGTTGCATTTCCAATCCATTGCACAGAGATGGGAGAGCACCCAATGGCAAATCCCTACCCAGACAAAGGTGCTGGTGCTAAGTCCTTCCCTTCTGGAAAACCTGGTGAGCGGTAACATGTATTAGCAGAGGTCCCTTCAACCCAGCTGCTGATTGTGCCACTAAAAAGTTAAACCCAGCTTGTCCCCAACTTCCAGCAGCCAGGAAGCCTTCTGCAAGATATTACCATGTAATACCATCCGTGTGAACAGAAGCTTCTCCAGTTCTTTCCACTTCAAATCAACATCCCATTTCCTCCGTTTCTTACAATTCTTCTCAAAGACATTGGCTCCAGCGGAAAGAATGAAGGCTACTGCGCAGGGCCCACAAGCAGACTCAACTCCAGGGCAACTGGTGGCCAGAGCTCAGGGAAGGGGCTCCTGGGGGCCCTGAAGCCCCACTAAGGGAAGAAAAGGCCACAGGGAGAAAGCCTAACCAGCATCTCCCTCACTGGCGCCAACTTTCTCAGTGCAAATTGTACCCTAAGCTTAAACAATGACCCAGCACTATTTTCTGCCTCTCATAGCTTCTGAGAACTTGCCCTTTTTCTTACAGTAGGAGATGTAAGTAATTCGCCTCCAATCCAATCTCAAGTAAATAATTATTCTTATCAGAGTAAGAAAAAAGACTGATTTCATTCATCACGCTGTTCATGAACATCTTAGAAGACCCTTCCATGGCTCACAGTGGATTTCAGTCATCTGCAGAAAGGTTAGACCCTCTGTTGTGGGTCCAAATTGGGGGTGGGGGGCGTGGGTAGAAAGATGGGAATATTCAAAAGGTCAAGTCAGTTTGAAAGCGGTCAATTAGCAATATAAATACAAAACTGACAGCTTCCACAAACCACTCGCCATTAGAAGGTATTGCAGGGAATCGAGGCTTTGAAGAATCAAGTTTTGATAAGAGTTTTAAAGGCAGAAAACCTTGTTTTCATTCCGGGTCAAGGGTTTGTTGATTCTGCTACTCTAAGAAGAAATCGAAAGATACTAATAATCGTGGTTGAACCTAAGCGTTATTTTTGCTAATTAGGCCCGAGAGCCCAACCGTATTCTCGCCTCCCCCCTATAAAGTCCTGATCCTCTCCCAGGTGCCCCTGGCCTGTCCACACTCTGCATGTCACAGGGATTTTCATTTGTAGAACAATAACTGCCCGTGGTGATCAAAGGTGGCAGAACAGCATTTCTCCATCTCAAAAGAAACCGAACATGAGAAATGGTTTTATAACGCGGAGAAAGTTCCTAAGACTTAAGCAAGAAGAATCTTCAGATCCCCCATTCCCCTCCTCCAGAGATCTTGGCAAATGAAGCCAGCCCAGCCACAAAAATGAGCACAAACTTGAAGATGAAATGGAATTAAACTATGTTTTAAAGAGAAGCAGGCTTTGGAAAAATGAGGTTTTCAATAAAAACAAAAGTTATGACTCAATATTTTCTACCACAGGAGCACCTCAGGGTATTGGTTGTACAAAAATCAAATGACTCAGGCCTATTAGTAAATGGGGAAAACAAACAACCGTTGCCATTGAGTCAATTCCAACTCATAGCAACCCCGTAGGACAGCAAAGAACTGCCCCATAAAGTTTCCAAGGAGCACCTGGTGGATTCGAACAGCTGACCTTTTGGTTAGCAGCCGTAGCTCTTAATCACTGCACCACCAGGACCCCAAACGGGGAAAAGGGAAGTGAAAATTTGATGGACAGGGACAAGCTAGATTTTAGGAAGATTCCTTGGTGGCTCAGCAGTGACCTGGGCTCCATGATAGTCTTTAAGATATCCATTACCACCCTCAAAGTTTTATGCAAAAAAATTTGGATATTTTTCTGATGAGAGGGTCCGTAGCTTTCCTTGGAGGTTCTGTGAAAGGTCTGACCCTCAGCTGACCTCAGGCCTCTGAAAGATCAAAGGATCCGAGACCATGTAAGAGACATGGGTTCTTAGGGTGGAAAGGGGTCTAATCAAAGACAGTCACAACATAGGCAGATGTGACTTTAACCACAGACCTCTACTCCTTAACACCCTTGAGACTATGTCTGAGGATTAAGCCTGAAGGCAAAAGCAATGGCTTGTGTTAGGTTTCCATGGGCTCAACATCTTCCCAAAGGGGCCAACAGAGTGGGAGAAACATTTAACTTCTGTGTTGATTTTTCAATCTTATTTCTTCAATAAAAATGTAAACTTCAAGCAAGACTGACTGAAACTGCAATCTTTTTTATTCAATACACATACATAATTTAACTATGGTTTAGATCAGCTGCAGTAAAAACCAAGAAACAGGGATTTATCTGCAGAGTCCACTCAATTTCGCCCACTCAGTTTCCTGTCTCAGGCCTCACTCCATGCCCAAAAGCATACTCCCCTTTCCAGCGCCTTATGCGTGTTTTCCCTTCCTTAGACAGTGTACACCCGCCCCCAAGCTTCACAAGTACCTCTCCTTTCTTAACTAAGATCTGGCCCTCAAATAGCTATGACCAACATAAGCAGTTTGATCAACTGACTTCCCCTTTATTTGTAAATGCCTGCTAACCTCATGTGTTCACTTAAAGGGCTAAGTCTCTACTGGTTAGAGTTGAAACCCCAAACCAAACCCATCGCCATTGATTCAATTCCAACTCACAGTGACCTATAGGACACAGTAGGAGTGTGCCTCACAGGGTGTCCAAGGCTGTCAATCTTTACAGAAGCAGACTGCCACATCTTTCTCCAGTGCAGCGGCTGGTGGGTTCAAACTGCCGACCTTCGAGTTAGCAGCCAAGCTCTTAACCACGGCGCCACCAGGGCTCCTGGTTAGAGTTGAAGCATTCATAATGCCACATTATGGTACAGGCCTATGGGGTTGCGATACGCCATCTTTAAAGGCACCTTTTTGGTTGCTATGAATCAACTCGACGGCCACGGGTTTGGTTTTTTTGTCTTTGGGCAGGGAGCTCTTCCACCCAGAGCCCCGAAGTCACAAACATGCAGGTGTGAGGGCTCCACTCAAGCAAGGATTAAGAGGGGCTCCTACAGCCATCCAAGCAAATACACCTCCTGGAATAGGTATTCTTCAACAGACATCTTCAACAGGAAAACAAAACCCACTGAGTTAAAGTGATCAGCAACTGTCCAGAAGACCTCCATGATCAAGGACAGAAAATAAAGTTGGCTAGAGAACAAGCATCATATTCTCTTCCAGCAGCAAGCATATTGCCGTTCAATCATTTTTAAAACCT